GCACCTTTCAATAAAATAAATCTTAATTTCAAAAAACAAATAGACCTTAAATCATAGGCAACAACCCATATTATTATTTTTGTTGATATTATTGCCTATTAACATATCACCAACCAGTGTCAACCATTTTGATTTAACTGTGACCAGTGGAAATCACTTGAAATCATCCTTTAAAAGTGTATTACAACCCCACCATTGCTGCCTACATGAAAATAAATTAAGTAAAGGAGTACTTCTTCCCACCACTTACATTTTATACCAACTTTATCTGCAGCCTAACTCAGGACACATAAAACGAATACAGTTTGTATTTTCTGTTGTATTTTGTTGCATTTTTCCTTTAAGCTGTCACACGTGTTTGTTTAAAATAAGAAAAAGTAGAAAACATCAATGTTTGTCCCGCAGCACACGCAGAAATGCACTGGAGCACAGTTGAAACTTAAATCTACGAGGAACACTTGAACACAGCAGTAGCTGACGTCAGGTCCTAGAAGCGTCATCGTTCCAGCGATAGGTCCCGCGAGCCAGCAGGTGGCGCAGCTCGGCCAGTGATGCTGCACAGGTAGGCCCTGAATCATATTTCCTCTGTGCAGTTTGGGCAGTGAGGGGGCACGTGGGCATGTTTACAAGTACGATATGGGTTTGTGATGATGTCAGAGAATAATCAATAACCAATAATCAATAATCACGAGTGTCGTGGATGTTTTTACTCAGCTTCCCTGTAACTGTGGCTCAGAGTTGTTTTGTGCTCGCTCACAAGTTTTGTCATCACGATAATAAACCTCCATGTACTTGTGTGTTCGTGTGTGGGTGAGGACAGCCCGTGATGGAGAGTGACAGTTGCTATGGCAACCCGCTGTCACTCATTGTGACTGTGACCAATCAACCGACAAAATAACAAAACAAGCAGGGGATGTCTGCTGTGGATGTGTCTCCTGTCGTCTATATTTGCAACTGTCATGTGATACTGAACAAAGACAATGACCATACTGTAATAATAATAATAATAATAATAATAATAATAATAATAATTATTTGTACACCATGTTAAAAGAACAGGGTATAAAACACTTCACAAATTAAAGCCTGTAGCCTGTAGCACGACAACCACCACTCCTGGAGCCTCCCAAAAATAAAGAGTAGATACAAAAATTAAAATATACATGCATACACAGACATGTGCAGGTTAAACAAATTTGATGCAATTAAATAAAACAGTACAGTAATTGTAAGTGATATAATCTGTATAGAAACATAAAACACATACAAAGAGATACAAAACAGCCGCAAAGAAACACAAAATGGCTACAGAGACTCCAAATGACCACAAAGAGACACAAAACAATTACACAAATGTATCATAAACAGAATAACCATAAAGAGACAAAGAATAAATACAAAGAGATGCAAAACAACCACAGACTCAGAATTACCTAAAAGAGACAACAGCTACAAAGACATGCAAAACAGCTCTACTAAAGGGTAAAACCAGCACAGACACGAAACAACTACAAAGAGACTCCAAAGAGACACAAAATTATAAAAAAAAAATAAATAAAATGACCACAAAGCAACACATAATGACTACAAAGAAACAAAGCAACGTCAAATTACCACAAAGCAACACAAAACAATAACACAAAATTATCAAATTATTACAAAGATAAAACAGAATGACCATAAAGAGACAAATAACAACTACAAAGAGATGCAAAACAGCTGCAAAGAGGCACAAAATTACCTCAGAGAGACAAGGAACAACTACAAAGAGATGCAAAACTGCTATACCAAGGGGCAAAACAACCACAGACATGAAACAACTACAAAGAGTCTCCACAAAGAGACACAAAACAGCTACAAAGAGTCTCCACAAAAAGACACAAAACACTGACACAAAATGATCACAGAGATAAACAGAGCGACCATAATTTTGGAATTTCTCAATTGTGGGATCAATAAAGGTGTATCTTATCTTATAAAGAGACAAAGAATAACTACAAAGTCACAAAACAACTACAAAGAGACTCAAAATGAGCACTAACAGACATTAAACAGCTACACAGAGACAAAAAGTATCACAAAAATAAACAAAATGACCACAAAGAGACACATAATGACTACAAAGACACAAAGCAACTACAAAGAGACACAAACAATGTTAAAGAGACTCCAAATTACCACAAAGCAAAACAAAACAATTACACAAAATTATCAAATGACTGGAAAAAAGACCATAAAGAGACACAAAACAACTACAAAGAGACTCCAAGTGGACTTAAAGAGATACAAAACAGCTGCAGAGGCACAAAATGACCACAAAGAGACACAAAACAATGACACAAAATGATCACATAGATAAACAGAATGACCATAAAGAGACAAAGAACAGCTACAAAGAGATGCAAAACAACTGCAAAGAGGCACAAAATGACAACAAAGAAACACAAAGCAACCACAAAGAGACTAAAAACTACCTTACCTCAAAGAGATGCAAAACTGCTATACAAAGGGGTAAAACAACCACAGACATGAAACAACTACAAAGAGACTCCACAAAGAGACACAAAATGATCACACAGATAAACAGAATGGCCATAAAGAGACAATGAACAACTACAAAGAGACACAAAACAACTGCAAAGAGGCACAAAATGACAACAAAGAGACACAAAATGGCTACAAGGAAACACAAAGCAACTGCAAAGAGACTCAAAACTACATCAGAGAGATGAAGAACAACAACCACAGACACAAAACAACAGCAAAGAGGCACAAAATGACAACAAAGAGACACATAATGGCTACAAAGACACAGAGCACGTACAAAGAGACTCCTTAGAAGGACTCGTCCTACCAAGTAAGGATCCATGACTTTGAGAAACACCAAGAGTCAAGTGCGGCAGAGGTGCGTAGACCCTTTTAGTGCCGACGTCACAGTGATGTCATTTTAAAAGCTGGACGCAAAACCTGCCTCTCCCCCACAGGGCTGTAGGCTACACAGGAGGCTTAAAATGTCGTCTTGTTGTGTTGTTGGGAGCCAGAATAGACACAGACAACAAGTCTGCACCTGGTTTATCGTCCACAGAATGAAGCTGCACGCCTACATTTTCAGAACAAAATAAAACAGGCTGCAGTGAGAGTCTCTCTCCATGGGATATTTAGAAATAGCAGGTTTGTACATTCAGTCCTTCTCAGGCAAGCTCAGGGGTTTAGTGTTGCTGGAGCCCACAGGAACAACGCTCTGTGATGCTTTTTTTTTTCTGAGTGAGGATTAGAATATATGCAGTTCACATAACCCGGTCAGAATTAATATATATAAACACTTGAAGATCCACTCATTACTAAAAGTGTATGTCATATAAAAACTGAAGTGATGGTCAAAGTTGTCACAGTGAAATTTAAGGTGTGTTGATGGATTCACGTCGTCACCTCATGCATTGAGTAACATTACAAGTTAACGTTCCACCTTAAAAATCACCATCAGTCGACCCAGTGAATTTTCTCAGACTCCAGCTGCTGTGAGAGGCAGCAAAACATCCTTTCATTTTATAGTTACAGTTTACTAATAAAACTCTCCACAGTATGAACAGTGGTTACATGAGCCTCAAAACCAGTCACAACTCAGCCCTGAGCAGAGTGGTGGAAACGGTGGCTAAATATCCATCGCTGAATTTAAGGGCGTCATTAACAATGAGACGTGTGCTTGTTTTTCTTGAGAGGCCACTTTGTTTGAATAGTTGTTGTTTCATTTTGGATTTTTGTTGTATTTGCTGCATTTTAAATGTGCTCTGATTGGCTGCTACCTCGGCCAGGTCTCTTGTAAAAGAGATTTTAAATCCCAATGGGACTTCCTGGTTGAATAAATAAATAAATAAATAAATATAACACTGTTTTCTGTCTCTTCTTCTGTATGTGTGCGCGTGTTCAGGCTGTCTGTGACCATGCATAAGACTGACTGATTGACTGGCTCTATTGGCTGTCTGGCCGTGACACACACACACACACACACACACACACACACACCATGCCTGCGGGTGAATTCCATCCCCCTCTTCGTCTCACGCGCTCAAAAAAACACCTCTTCCATTCTGCACGCGCACACACGTACAGTCTCTCCGTCTCTTTTTCCTCTCATCCGGCGCAACAGCCCGGCAGCGCGGGTGACGCGTTTTGCGCATTTCCTGCAGCTCGCGCTCACTCACAGATTCAGGAGAGAGAAAGAGAGGGGACGGGAAACGGAGGGGGCGCGCGCAAGGACCGAAAGGACGAAAAAAAAGCCCTAACGGGAGCGGAGCACCGTGATGTATCTGGGGTGCTCGTGAGCCCGAAAAAGACTGCATTGAGGGGGCACTGCTTTCCGAGAGTACGCGCAAATATCGCGGTACCGTGAGGTCGAAGCAAGGAGATTATCCCAGAGAAGAGCGAGCGAGGGGCTGGAAACGGAGCACCAATCCCGGATGGCTAGGCGCGGCTGCTCGCGCTCTCTCCCACCCTGACCCGGGAGGGACACACAAGGACCGTGGGGAGGCTCCGGGGCTTCGCGTGAACCCAACCGGGGCTCGTTAACCCGCATTCCCCCTCGCTGCCGTTTCACATATCGGCCTGTTTCCGCCGAAACGGGAATCTTGTGTGGCGCACGGGACCGACCGTAAACAAACAAGGCAGCCGCTCGGGTGGGAGAGTGTTCAGCAGGCGACCTCTGAAGGGTGTGAGTCTGCGTTGTTGCTGCATTTTACAGATCAGCTGTACTGTAAGCGCGTGTGTGTGTGTGTGTTGTGTGTGTGTGTGTGTGTGTGTGGATAACATAGTGTTCAGATATGGCTGTATTAGAGTGAGAGTCCAAGGAGCCAGCGGCATTATGGGATGTAGCAGGACTGTGCAGTGACCCCGCTCATTGGAAGGAAACACTCTGTGTACAGGAGCAGGAACAGGCAGACTAGCCTAAACACACACACACACACACACATACACACACGCACACATCCCACCAGCCTGCAGCCATGCCTGTGTTCAGTGGCCTGTTGAAGGTGCGAGTGTGTGAGGCAGTGGACCTGAAGCCCACACCATGGGCCCTGCGTCATGCTGTGGGGAAGAGTGGCTCCTTCCTGCTGGACCCTTACCTGGCCCTTAATCTGGACCAGACCCGGCTCGGCCAGACCGCCACCAGGACGAAGACCAACAGCCCTGCCTGGCACCAGGAGTTCTGCACTGAGGTCCGAGAGGGAAGGAGCCTGGAGCTGTCCGTTTTCCACGATGCGCCCATTGGATACGATGACTTTGTGGCCAACTGCACCATCCAGCTGGAGGACCTGCTGCAGAACGGGACCAGGCACTATGAAGACTGGGTATGTGTTTGACGTGTGAGTGTGTTCCCTTTCAGTGTGTCTCCGTTACCCACAGAGCACTGGGGCAGAAGTCCTCAGGGCCCAGAAAGTCACAGGTTTGCATGTAGGTAAATAACAGACCCCAGGCGCTGAGACAAACAAGGCCCACAGTTTAAGAAACATACAGTCTCTGCAACAACCGTGCATTGTTTGTACTGCATGTTTCATGTGGCGCTTGTGATTACTTAAAGGGCACAAATGCACAGTGTACAGTGGAGTTGGCACATAGTATGTTTTTGCCACAATATACATTCTCAGCCAAACATATTCATTCAGGAAAGAGACAATTTTGCTCATTTGCTCCTTCACAAAATTTACATTTATGAATATCTTTTCCCAGAGAGCTTCCTAGCACAAATACTGCATGGCCAGTAATGTCTTGCTCGTGAGTTGGAGTGCACAGATTTGGGGTTTTTCTCTTCCGGTGCAGATGCTTATCCTTCAACTCAGGCTCATGGCCACATAGTCATGCAGTATTTTGCATGACAATATTGTAATGATACAGATACAAATGCAAATTAAACTTTTGGTGGTCTACTAAAATTGTAACATCAGTTTCTTTTTTAAGTCCACAAGATACATTTTGCTGCAATAGAAATGATTTAAGTGAGATGAACTCATTTTAGATAAAACGTGTTGACAAAGTTTTCCTTCGGGGACATAATTCACAGTTGAAAAAAGGTGGTAAATTGTAATATATTACAATATATGTTATCACAATACTCAGCATTTTGCAAATAATTGCAGTAATATCGTATCGTGACTGAAGTATCGTGATAATATCGTATCGTGACTCAAGTATCGTGATAATAATGTATAGTAACTTAAGTATCATTATAATGTATTTTGACTCAAGTATCGGGATAATATTGTATCGTGACGTAAGTATCTTCATAATATTGTATCTTGACTCAAGTATCGTGATAATTTTGTATCGTGACTAAAGAATTGGGATAATATTGCATCATGACTCAAGTATTAGGATAATTTTGTATCGTGATAATATCGTATAGTGACTCAAGTATCATTTTAATATATTGTGACTCAAGTATCGTGAAAATATTCTACAGTGACTCAAGTATCATCATAATATTGTATCGTGACTCAAGTATCATTTTAACATTGTATCATGACTCAGGTATCGTGATAATATTGTACCGTGACTCAGGTATCGTGATAATATTGTATCGTGACTCAGGTATCGTGAAAACATTGTATAGTGACGCAAGTGATTCTCAGCCCTACTATCTACTGATACTGAGTACTGATCCGATACCATTGTTGTCCTTTTCCCAAATTTAAAATCTATATCACAGCTACGTCACTGCATTAACAGTTTTAATTTTATACTTGTTTTTAAGATCTATACACACTGTGTGTGCTTTCAGAATCTGTGTTGTGCGATTGTTTTTAATCAGTGTATTGTCTTATGTGGAGCCACATCGAAGAAGATTTTCTGTTACGACAGACAATAAAGTTTTCTGAATCTGAATCTAAATTCACTGGGATAAATTAGACAATAATATTCTGAATGAGCACAGCTCATATCAGAAACTGTGGATTTTATGATGACGTTAATGAAAGAAAAATCTGTATTTATTGTCACTTCTGGCTGCCACCCAACCCACCTAACGATGTCTGTTTCAGAAGCTATAACAGTCTTGCAGATCAGATCTACAGTACAGGCCAAAAGTTTGGACACACCTTCTCATTCAATGTGTTTTCTTTATTTTCATGACTATTTACATTGTAGATTCTCACTGAAGGCATCAAAACTATGAATGAACACATGTGGAGTTATGTACTTAACAAAAAAAGGTGAAATAACTGAAAACATGTTTTATATTCTAGTTTCTTCAAAATAGCCACCCTTTGCTCTGATTACTGCTTTGCACACTCTTGGCATTCTCTCCATGAGCTTCAAGAGGTAGTCACCTGAAATGGTTTTCCAACAGTCTTGAAGGAGTTCCCAGAGGTGTTTAGCACTTGTTGGCCCCTTTGCCTTCACTCTGCGGTCCAGCTCACCCCAAACCATCTGGATTGGGTTCAGGTCCGGTGACTGTGGAGGCCAGGTCATCTGCCGCAGCACTCCATCACTCTCCTTCTTGGTCAAATAGCCCTTACACAGCCTGGAGGTGTGTTTGGGGTCATTGTCCTGTTGAAAAATAAATGATCGTCCAACTAAACGCAAACCGGATGGGATGGCATGTCGCTGCAGGATGCTGTGGTAGCCATGCTGGTTCAGTGTGCCTTCAATTTTGAATAAATCCCCAACAGTGTCACCAGCAAAACACCCCCACACCATCACACATCCTCCTCCATGCTTCACAGTGGGAACCAGGCATGTGGAATCCATCCGTTCACCTTTTCTGCGTCTCACAAAGACACGGCGGTTGGAACCAAAGATCTCAAATTTGGACTCATCAGACCAAAGCACAGATTTCCACTGGTCTAATGTCCATTCCTTGTGTTTCTTGGCCCAAACAAATCTCTTCTGCTTGTTGCCTCTCCTTAGCAGTGGTTTCCTAGCAGCTATTTGACCATGAAGGCCTGATTCGCACAGTCTCCTCTTAACAGTTGTTCTAGAGATGGGTCTGCTGCTAGAACTCTGTGTGGCATTCATCTAGTCTCTGATCTGAGCTGCTGTTAACTTGCGATTTCTGAGGCTGGTGACTCGGATGAACTTATCCGCAGAAGCAGAGGTGACTCTTGGTCTTCCTTTCCTGGGTCGGTCCTCATGTGTGCCAGTTTCGTTGTAGCGCTTGATGGTTTTTGCGACTCCACTTGGGGACACATTTAAAGTTTTTGCAATTTTCCGGACTGATTGACCTTCATTTCTTAAAGTAATGATGGCCACTCGTTTTTCTTTAGTTAGCTGATTGGTTCTTGCTATAATATGAATTTTAACAGTTGTCCAATAGGGCTGTCGGCTGTGTATTAACCTGACTTCTGCACAACACAACTGATGGTCCCAACCCCATTGATAAAGCAAGAAATTCCACTAATTAACCCTGATAAGGCACACCTGTGAAGTGGAAACCATTTCAGGTGACTACCTCTTGAAGCTCATGGAGAGAATGCCAAGAGTGTGCAAAGCAGTAATCAGAGCAAAGGGTGGCTATTTTGAAGAAACTAGAATATAAAACTTGTTTTCAGTTATTTCACCTTTTTTTATTAAGTACATAATTCCACATGTGTTCATTCATAGTTTTGATGCCTTCAGTGAGAATCTACAATGTAAATAGTCATGAAAATAAAGAAAACGCATTGAATGAGAAGGTGTGTCCAAACTTTTGGCCTGTACTGTATGTAGGCGTTGTTCAAACAGAAGGTTAAACTTTGACTAGTCGACTAGTCTCAAATAGGGGTGGAAATCACCAGTTTCATCACGATAAGACATTATATCAGTTCTTTGGACAATGATACAGTATCTGATATTAGTGGTAGTGAGAAGTTAGTGGAGTGAGATGCCCAGCTGGGCAGGTAAGGTTATGTCGTGTTTTATCTTGTTACGGCATTGTTAACATAAGGCATGTGCTCTGTCTGTTGACCTGTATAGTCTTCGAAATCCAAAGTATTTCCACTCTGCCGATTTATTCCCGAGTAAATAATGTTATCCTCTTCGTCCTTCTCTTGGATGGTTACCATCTGCCTGCCGCTTTTAAAAATAAATGCGTATCCTAAAGATGACGATTCATGTTTTCACTTTGCATCGATGATACTGGATTGTGATAATTGAATAGATGTATCAATCCAGATTGATGGATCAGTACACCCCTCGTATCCAAATTGGAAAATACTCAGAAAACAGTCAAAATTAAACACGATCTAATCAATACGGTTAAACACTGCCTGAAAAAATATTGCAGAAATTTAAAGAGCCATTTGAAATCTCTGAGCACAGTTTTCAATAATCCAACGTATCTTAAATGCTGCTGAAATATGTGTTACTTTGAACCGTGTATTATGAACATTGCTCATTTTCCTACAGAACATGAACAACTCATTAAATGAATGTTTACAAATAACATTTATTGAAAACAATTTCATTGGGTGAAGGCAATTGCACAATATCACTATATTTTTATCAAGTTAAACTGATTTGCACTTCCTCCGGGATTTTCAGATGTTGCGTTTTTAACAACGCAAATTCAGCCAGTCTCCGTGAATTCTGCGCAACCTTGCAATTTCGTCCAATCACCGCAACTTTACTGTAAACTTGACTATTTATTGTAGAGCTGCATGCAGCATATTGACTCGCTGAGCCCTTCCATGCCTTCCTCTCTCTGTCTGTTTGTCAAGAGACTGCTGCTGCGGCACCAAAGCTCTGTATTCCCCTGGGGTTAAACACACAGTGACAGGGCTAACTGTTAGCATCCCACAGCTAAGGTTACCCAACTTTTATTTAGGTTTAACGACAGCCGAGCCTTTTTACTGTTGGTGTGAGATTAACAGCTTGGTGCCGGATGTTAACCGCTGCTGCGGGCCTCTGCCCAAGTGGCAAGATATAATGAGTAGGGCAGAGAGAGCAGGAGGAGAGCCTTCAGCGCTCCTTCAAACGGCAGCAATAGCTCATTGTTGCTGATCAGATGTAAGCCTCCCGCCATCACAAATATCACTTGCCCCCGCAATTTCATTGCAAAAAAACGTCTTTAAACATGGCAATTTTTAAAAAGCTGCCATGAAATCAGGCACTTCAGGCCGCAACAATCCCAAATACAGCCTGTGAAATCCTGGAGGGACTGGACTTGAATTTCTGGTGCTGCCTAGTAAGGTAGCAAACTTAAACTGACTAGTTGACTGGTAGCTGAGGCTACCGTACAAGGTGCCACCAACTCACCTAACATTCACACGCACTCACACACCAATGACACAGCCATCAGGAGCAGTTTAGGGTCAGTATCAGACTGGAAGAGCATAGGATCGAACCGCCGACCTTTCCAAGCCACCCCATTTTTCAG